TTAAAGTATTTCAGAAGCACAGCATTAACGAGAAAAGATTCCTCAGTAGCAAAGCCAGCTCAGTGGAGATCCTCAGTACATCGTTAATCCAACTGCCTTGCAGTAACAGAGACTCAGCATGATGTTAGCAACCAGAAAGCGACATCAACATGAAAACACTGGATGTAACGGATGCTGCGTTGTGTTGCTCGGATCTGTCTTCCTGTCTGAGGACTTCTTTGCGGTCACATGCTGGGAGTGCTGTCACTAGACAACCCTCAGCTGTCAGTCCTCTCCAGAAATTTCCCTCTGTCCCCTGGGATCAGCTTGCATCCAGTATCTGGCTGACGTGGGAGCACAAGAGCCTAGCCTCCTCACTGCAAGGGGAGTCGGCCCTAAAGGGCCACCCCAGCTCTTGCGAAGAGCTCCCAGGGGCTGAGCTGAGACCTTGGCGGAGACCACCCTGAGCTCAGCTCTTCCTTCTGCCCAGTCCTGCTCCTTCTTGTCGACTAACAATGATCCAAGAGCACTCCCTGCTCACCTCTGCGTGCTCACTTCTGTCTCTGAGTCTGCTTCTCAGGAGAACCCAAATTTGAATAATAGGGAAATTAAGTTCTTTGTTTCTAACATGTTATTAAAATATAAGTGTTACCTTATAACAAGGAAATATGTTTTTAACTAGCATTTAATAGGACTATAACATATTGTTCAGGCGTTACTAAATCATTATTTTCCTCAGGGTACAGGTAGGGCTGGTTGATTTACTGTGATAGAAAGCCAAGCAAGAGGGAGAAGAGCGTTGGAGGCAGACTACCAAGCTGTGAAGGCCCCTACTCGGGAAATTATACTGGGGGCTGGGAAATAGAAAGGAAGTACACAGGGGGGCGGTATTAGGAGGGTGCTAGTCCTACTGGAATCCACACAGAAAGACCTCCAGCCACCCAGCTTTCTATAGGCCTGATGCCTTCCCTCCAAGGATGCTGTCAAAGGCACTGAGGCATGGTGAAGGAATTTAGTGTGACAGTCATCTGCCTCCCCTCTGTTCTTAGTCCCTTCTGCTCTTGGCCTGATCTCTCAGAAAATCTTTCTTCCCTAAGTTTTTTTTATTAGCCGATAGACACATGGTGAAGGCATTTGGATTATAGCAGAGAATTTAAGACAAGGTGAAAACCTTCTACCCCAGAGGCATAGATCTCAGTTGCCAATGGAAGAGTTTCAGACACCAGGACTAGAGGAAGAGAGGAAGCAGGCAGCCCACCCAGAGGCTAAGTCAGATACTCTCCAAAAACACCTTTGACAGAATCTTTAATTAACCATGCCTTGTGCTGAGATTATTCATCTACCTCACAGGGACACATTGGCGGTACAGTCTGCTTCACCATCAGTTTAAATTTTGGCTCTGGATTTAACAATTCATTCAATAGATAATGGTTGAGAGCCTACCAGGTGCCAGAGTTCCAGCAGTAAACAAAACAGACTTCCATTGTTGGGGGAAGCGGACAGAAATAAACCAATACTATAATTTCAGATAACAATAAGAGCTAAGAAGAGAATAAACCAAGGTTAACATAAAGGACCGCTGAGGGAGGGGTGGTGACCTCTTTAGCTGTGAGGGGCTAGGCCAGCGGAGATTTCTCTGAAGAGGTAGCCTGTGAGCAGAGATCTGAATGGTAAGCATCAAACCATGCAAAGATTTAGGCCAAGAGCATCCAAGGCAAAGGCTATATTCCACAAACGGGGGTATAGCAGGAACAGAGTAAATGAAGGGGAGAGTGGGGGGGGCTTGGAGAGTAGGAAGGGCTGGATCAAGAAGAGGCTTGAAGGCCAGACTAAAAAGAGTTTGGATTTTGCTCTAAAGGTAGTAGGAAGCCACTGGACAGATTTTTAAAGAAGAAGAAATAAGGACATGATGTAATTTTTTGAAGAGCCCTCCAAGTGCATATGAAGAGGGTACAGCAGCAAGCAAGAAGCCAGGGAGAGCAGTCGGGATGCCACGTCTGTGGAGCAGTGAGGTTGAGAATGGTGATGGTGGAGGTGATGGGGAGTGGTTGGGTCTAGAAAGTATTTTAGAAATAAAACTAATGGAACTTACGATGGATTAATGTGGAGAATGACAAAAACATTTACTCAAAGACAACTCCCAGTCCATCTTTGCCAGCACAACTGGATGAATGATTTAAATGCTGATGCAATCAACTGGGGTGGGGGATATTGGGGAGGAACAGATTTGGAGGCTAGGAAAAATCAAGAGTCCTATTTGGACCTGTGAAATTTGAGATGTCTACATCCCAGGGGTGATCTTGAGGAAACAGTTGTATATACAAGTCTATTATTCAAAGGAGAAGTTGGGGCTAGAAGCCTAGATCTAAAGTCAACATGATAAGGATGTTCTCGAAACCCAAGGGACTAGGGGTAGAGCCAGAGATAGGAAGAGACTTAGGACTAAGCTCTGAGGAATGCTAATATTTGGAACAAGAGTTCATGACACTGGAATCCCCAGGAGAGCTTTAAATAAATATTGAACTTGGACCCATCCCTGGAAGATTCTGATTTAATTGGTCTGGGGTGCAGCTAGACAATCAAGAGATTTAAAAGCCCCCGGTAGTTTCAATGTGCATCTAAGGTTGGGAACCATTGATTTAAATATTGGAAATAGGAGGATAAGTCAGAACAACTAGAACGAAAGGGGTCATTGTTAAGGTAGGAAGGAAACCAGGAGAGTAACGTCGTGAAATTTATGTGAAGGGGATGTTCCAAGAATGAAATGGTTAACTGTGTCAAGTGCTGATGAGAAGTAAAGTCCAAGAAGGAAGACAGGGCCAGGGTGGGGTGACCTCAACGTGCAAAGTTGTGGTGTTCTGGGGACGAAGGCCTGCCCGGCATGGGTTAGGGGGACTGGAGGGTGAGGAAGTAGAGACAGCTGCCGTCTCCTGTGTCCCCTCTGCACAAGGACCAGGACCAGGACCACCCAAGTCCTGGGCTCAGACCCAGAGACTCTGGCCACCTCTTGTCCAGCAGCTTGGATCTCTAGTGCCCCTCAAATAACACCATCTAAACGACTTGCCCATAAAGCCAGTCAACACTGACTCCACCAACTCATTTAATACCTGCTGAGCACTTGGATGTGCTGGTCATTGTGAGGCAGTGGGGATAGAAAATCCAATAAGATACATTTCTTGCTCCCATGAAATTTTCAATCCATTGAAGAAGACAGTCACAAACAATCACAACAAAATAGTCATCTTGATTCTACATCTACAACATCCACCTACTTTCCATGCCCATTCCCACCAACCTAGTTCAGGCCTTGAAAGTGAATAATAGTGTCCTGACCAGTCTCCCTGTGTCCAGCTTCCCTTCTTGTTCATCTAGTTAAAACCCTGCTACCAAATTCCTTTTCCTAAAGTAAAGCTCTGTCCATGTCATTCATTAATTGTGGAAGCATTAATTTAGCACCTACTAAATACAAAAAGAAATACAGTCCTCTCTCCTATGATGCTAGGGTCAACTTCTGGTTCCAAAAGCCTGATTGTGTAATCTCATTCAGAGGTAACCACAGTTACCCAGTCCATACATGAATCTCCTTTATGAATCCCTATAATTCATAAGAGGATAGCTGGATAAAAACGTTTCCAGTTGGTACTTAAACCTCCAAGGATGGAGAATTCACTTTTGAAAACAAGTTCAATACACGTTCAAGGAGTTGGAAACGTGTAAAAGTTCCTCCTTCATAGTGCTTCCTGCTTAGCAGTTAGAGTGAAAACTTCCTGGCTGGCATTCAAGGTCTGCTCTAATCTGACCCCGAGGCATTCCGGTTTTAGCATCTAACATTCTCCTTGATGTTTCCTTCCCAGAACATGCTTTATATCACGAAACTCTCCCTCTATTCCCTCATATCCAAGTCCTTCAAGACGGGGCTCAAGCACCATGTTCTCCATAAAACCACCCTGAGTGTCTCAGCACACCCAGCATCTCCCTCACCTGAGACCCCTCAGACATTTTTCCCTACCTTGTGCTTTCCCAGCTTTGCTGACTGGAGCACATGTCCTGTTTTCCATGCCTCACTGAGAGGTCCATGAGACTTGGGTCCCTCTCTCGGGCGCCTCTGTCTCCCACCCAGTGCCCAGCACGGTGACTTGAAAGTTTCATTAGACACCTGTGGAATGACCACAGCAGCAATTTGGATTTGTTTCCCACTTTGTGCAAGAAAGAAGCTATATTAGCTTTCCTACTGACTCTAATTTTCTGATTCTCAAATTTAAAGAAAGTATTAGACATTTATTGCATGCTTGAGATTGTGTTTTTCTCATTTCCAAGTAAAAGACACAGTTGTTAAGGGGAGGGTGGATAAAGACAATAAACATGAAACAATTCTCTTATAAACAGATGATAATAAAATATTAGCTGTGAGCAACAGGAAAAAACAAAGGAGATCATGGAGGGAGGAGAAGGAGGAGATGTCAGTGGTCAAGAGTCACTATGCAAAGTTAGGAGAAAGAGAAGTTCGTTGAACCTGGCTTTGAATCTCCATATGAGAAGAGTTCTGGGCATTTTAAGCCTGAAGCAAAGGCAGAGCCAGGGACACTAGAGGGAGCCACGGCTGCAGTCTGGAGAGAAAGCTTCCCAGCTCAGTCAGCCTTGGGTTCAGAGATTCTAAAACATTCGCTTAAGATAATTTCTAAAATGAAAATTATTTTGAGTCTATTTTCAGTTTTCACTGCTGTTAAACCTCTTTTGAGGGGATAAATATAAAGTTCTCAATGTCTGCACATCTATGTCAATTTTGTCTGTGACTATCTCCTAAATCTTAACTGTCAGCTACTGGGATTTGGGGGTGGATGTAAAGAAGGATCAGGCGAGACCCTGCGCAGTGACCTCCCTGCTCACTCAGACTGGCCTGAAGCCGGGGTGGTCTGTGACCACGGGTTCCAGGGTCAGGAGTCCAAAGGTTGCTGCTTACACGTTTAAATACGAGGCCTGCGGGGCGGACTGCAGCAAAGAGGCCACCCCTCTAGCCTTTTCATTCAGTCCGAGTCCACAGACAGCCCTAAGCAAGGCATGCTTAAAAGTGGCAGTTTAAAGTTCTGGGGCTGCAATGTGAGTTCAGTCTGGCCACCATCAGCACTGCCAGGGCCTGCCTGGTGGATGGACAGATGCAGAGACCAAGGCCCCCATCCACCTGCAGGTGAGAAGAGTGAGGAGTAGTTGGAAGGTGGAAAAAAGGAAATTGGGTGCAGCCCTGATGCACTACCTTACCTCAAACAGGGTGACATTAAACAAAGTCAAATCACATCTATCAAAGGAGTAGTGCTGGATCGTATATTTTCGCCATATATAAATGCTTACTTACACTAAATTTTGGGATAGAGTAGCTTAAAAAATAAAAGATAAAAAGGATAGCATACCTCTAAGGCAGTAGTGACTTAAAGCTTGCTCAGGCTTAAGGGACAAGGGACCTCAGGGCCAAGAGGGAGGACACCCTAGGGTACCCTGGCTTGTAGGGTCTTCTCACACTGCCCACCCCGCTGTACCACCAGACAGAAACCTAAACAATCAGAGGGCAGCAGGAGGGGAGGGAGGGGAGGACCTCACCAGCCACTGGAGTGCCCAGGAGGCTCCCTTTTCATCCAGATGCCACTTTCAGAACTCCTCTTGCTGTGGCCGTCTCTAGCTTGCCATTAAGTCGAGGGCAGGAGGCTGAGGACCCAGATCTAGAGGGGAGAATGGAGAGGAAGTTGTGAGTGCAGGCTGTGAAGAAGCAAGCCCATCCCCAGCATCTCTCTGTTCTCCCTGCCCTATGCTGCTGTCCTGGCATCCGGATGTTTTCCCTGGTCCCCCTAAGTCCAAAGGGATTAAGGAAAGGGGGATAAGAGAAAGCAAGAAGACGGGAAGAGGAGCTTGCTTTGGCCCCTGGACATGCCCAGTGAGGGTGAGCTGGGCCAACAGAAGCGCCAGTAAGGCCGAAGCTGCTACTCCTATGGGTGGGGAAGAATGGAACTGAGTCCCAGGGAGGTCAGGAAAGTGACCCTTCTGTGTAGGTGGGGGATGAGGGGATGGAGGTGTGGGAGTGGTAGTGTTGGGGGGTACAGAGCCAGCCTGAAGGCAAGGTGAGGGGGCAGGTGGGGGCCTTGGGGGCCTCTGGGGAGAGAGCTCGGAAGCTCCCTGCCTTGCCTGAGGCCTGAGTTCTTTCCTGAGTTCTGAGGCTGCCTGAGGCAGGGCACAGGCAGAATGGGGAGTGGAGGGGGCAGCGCTCTGCTCCATCTCTGGGGGCACAGTATGAACCCCAAGATAACCAGGGCCACCCCGCGCAGAGAGCAGAAATGCTCAGCACATGTGGGCAAACAGGAGGGGCCCAGCGGGGCCTTGGTCTAGCCTGCTGGTCTGGGACCCACCCCAGACGGCCAGAGCCCGTCTCAGCTGCCAAAGGCAAGTTGGACCACAAGCTTCCTGCACTTGGCGAGGTGTGGAGGGGGGGAAGGGAGGGGAGTTAAAGTGAGACACAAGAGGAGAGAGACAGCCCTTCTTGTGCATGAGGTGCTGGGCCAGCCACATCAGGAGGTGCTCTGAGCTCTGACTCTGGTGGACAGAAGTGTCTTCCAGCGGCAAGCCCTCAGGAGGCTCAGCGTGGATGGGCGGCACAGTCACGGTCATCCTAGCTGACACCTGTGCTGCTTCTGAGTCGGAAGTGAAGCTTGGCGAAGGCCACATGCATTCACACGGAAGGCTCTTCCCCCGCTCCCACAGAGCAGATCCTTCCACGTGGAGTGCCAGTGCCCCTTAAGAACCACCCTGAGTCCTTCAGCTGACCATCATCTGACCCAGCATCTCCCTCACCTGGGACCCTCAGACTTGTTTTTACCTTCCCCATGGGTTTCCTCCTTTGCTGACTGGGGAACATGTTCTGCTTTCCATGCCTCACTGAGAGGTCCATGAGACCTGGGTCCCTCTCTCAGGTGCCTCAGTCTCCTGCACAGTGCCCAGCACGGTGACCTGAAAGTTTCATTAGACACCTGTGGAATGACCACAGCAGCAGTTCCCTGGATCTGTGTGCCATTCTGGGAAAAGAGGAAGCTATATGAATGTTTCTCAAAGCTCTTATGTTCTGATTCCCAATTAAATTAAATATTCGACACTTGCTGCATGCCCAATACTGTCTCTCTCATTTCAGAGACGTGAAAGATACAAGTGTGATTCTGTCGTGGTAACTCAAATGTACAAGGAACAATTAGATTATGAGGCTGAATATAATAAAACTTTAAATTGCACATCATAAGAGCTCAACAGGAGAGAGAGAGATGCGTGTGGTCCAGTGAGGGCATGGAGAGCTAAAAGGAAGAGAAGGTAGTCGATGGTGAGGGGATCTGTACAGGTCGCCAGCCCCACAGATGTTGCAGCCTCGCCCTTGGTGCCTTGCCCATGTGGGCTCTTCACTGCTGCCGTTCCACCGGGGAAACCAGAGGCAAGTCAGGGGACTGGAGCAGCCCCTGGCAGAACAGGACACCATCTCCCTGGTCTTCTTGTTGATCTTCAAGCTACCCAAGCAGCAGCTGCAGTCATTGTTAAGAAGGTCCAATCATCAGGACCTTCCTTGGGTTTCTGCTACTCAGACCTTGGGAAAACCAGGGTGGGGTGGCTGGGAGTCATCCTGCTTTTCAGCTCAGTACGAGTGAGCTTTGCTATAACACTCTTCACAGAGACCTTACCCTGACCATCCAGGAGGGACGTTCCCAGCGTCTTGTGGGGCTTCCCATACCTTCACCCTTGCCCCGAGACATGGGTTATCTTTTGCACAGTTCCCACTGCCCAGGTATTGGGGAGTGATTCGGATGCTCAGCTGGTGGCCGCAGGAACACAACTGTCCTCAGCTCAGGCATCCAAGATGCCCCTAGACCACTCCCCTTCCACCGAGACACAACAGTTTCCTTCTCCAGAGTCTGGTCTGCGTCTGGTTTCCTAGGTAGGACGGCAAGTGGCACGCCCTCAGGGGTAGGCTCGCTGCCTTGTCTGTCAAGATGAGTCAGGGCAGGAGCGGAGCTGCCGAGAAACCAGTCTTGGGCCCCAGTGTTGCTTTTTCATGCAGATTTAACAGTTGCTCTGAGATAACATGGTCTGTAAGTCCAACAAACAGGCACACGCAAAGCTCAGAACACAGGCTGGCGTTGTCATGGTGCCATGCTTTATGGCTTCACAGAATTCCACTGTTTCCCACAACGGCCATCACTGCCCCTCCCTATGGGTATCTTTAGGTCTCCAGTGCCTAGCGCAGAGCCTGGCACGCAGCAGACATCCTATAATGATGCTGAATCCTGAGGGAGACACTTGGCAGATGAATGACATTAGCTAATGCAGCCTTAAAGGTATGGTATGACACAGTGATAAAGATAAATATGCTCTATCTCATTTTACAACAGTAAATCTGAAACCCCATCTTTCAGGAAAGCATTGTCTCCACCGTGAAGCCCACGTCAGTGATCCTGCTTATCGAATTCTGTTGAGCGAGTGTGGAAGGAGCAGCTCTCTGTAATCTATTTACCTTAAGGAGCTCAGTCACGTGCTCAGCTCACAGGCCCGTTTATCAGGATGAAGGATGCTCTCTGGAGAGAGCAGACAGCAGGACAGGCCGGGCTCGGATGACAGTCTGCCCTGTGGAGATTGACTTTAATGAAGCACAGAATAAACAGGAAGATTAAGAGGGTGCAAAAATCAGTGACAAGTTTTTGAGTTCACCTCTCTGTAGGAAACAAAAGGTTCTCTGTACAGCTGAGCGCTGTCTCTGGGTTATAGATGGGGGCATCTGTTTGGTCACTAATGATCCCACACTATCTAAGTCAGCCTCTGTGCCAGGAAAGAAAAGTTTTCTCTTAATTTACAGACCCACTTCTGTGCAATTTAAATTTACCCACCATGTGATTTGCTTTATAGTGAGTAGGAAGACTGAGGCTTTACTAAACGATTTGAGAAATTATTTACTAGGCTAAAATGTTAGTCTGATCAACAAAGACTAAATATGTTTCATATTGTTCTTGTATGTAGTCCTCCACTGTGTGATGAGAAATCATGCTCGTTCAGAGCTCATGACTCAAAGATACAGTCAGTCCTGTAGGGATGACTCACCTTATAGAAGGCCTACATTCTTGGAATAAAACAAAAATGAAAACTAGTCTTCCTCATTAAACAGGGCCATGTCCACAGGAACTTAATGGCATTCAGACATTTTACTGTATATTGCTTCAGTTTCTCATTCAATATATGATTTTTCCCCAATGAATAGAAAGAAGTTACAAAACAGCCAGAGGACATAGTCTAATATTCACACCCATCTTTTGAAGATGACAGTTTCATTTAGAGGATCTAAATGGGGATCTTATTTCGTTGTCATTTCCTTTTGAATACGTAGATCTTACTAAAGGTGGGAGCAGAATTTTGATTCATATAGCGTCTTCCTTATTCTTTAATTGAACTGTGAGAACGGGGGAGGGGGTGTACGTTAATATGTTCACGGGACAGGATGCAGACATGCTGCGGTATTGTAGCCTTCCTACCAGTAGATGGCACTCTGGTTCAAATTGCTATTCTAAGCTTTCAGTTGCCCAGCACGAACACTTCGAACACTTTGTGAGCAGTAATTGTGAGGAAGACACTGTACCAGTCCACTGAGATGTATCCAAGGAAAATGTGCAGCAACACAACAGAAACTCAAAACAATTCTGGGCAAACTATTTTAGGAGTGTTGGCTTGTACAAGGATACAGGGGACAGTCCTAATAGAGTAATGGGAGGTGGGTAATAGTGCAGTGGTAGAATGCATGCTTAACATGCACAAAGTCCTGGGTTCTATCCCCAGTACCTCCATTAAAAAAAAAATAACAGGGTGATCAGAATGCTTGGACTCGATGAGATTAGTTGAGAACTCCTTTATGGAAGAGTTTCCTTAAGCAGAGTGCTTGAATGCAGAGGAAGGGACATGAGGCCGCAAGAGGCAGGTGTTCGAGGTAGAAGTCAGTCTACTTTAAGATACTTATCTGATGTAGGCTCAATGTTAATAGCTAAGCTTCATACAATGATAAGAAAGTGGTGGGGGCAGGTAAGGGAGGGAGCAAGAAAAACACTCAGCTTTGCAAAAATAAACAAAAATAAAACACGGTCAGCCAAAATTAGGCCTTCCATCTGATTTTCACTTTTGATTATCACAGTAAATAAAATACAGATCAGCTAATTCAGCCAATATCTTTAATTTCTGGGTTTGTATAAGTGTTAAGTACTTATATTTATATTTTACATTATATAATTCTGGAGATGGTGGAATTTGTAGCAATCAAATGTATACATTACATATTCTACCTAAATGTAGAATTCTGAACCATGTGTCTTCAGCCCTTCCAAGGAGCTATGCGTTAGACTTTAATTTTTCTTACCTTTGTTATTTCCTAATTTTCTGGCTTTCTCCTTTTGCAAATTTTTGTGTATTGTTTATTTGCTTTGCCTAAGTAAAGAGAGAAATGTATTTGTGGTTGGGATTTAGCCTGGATTTATTCTTAGAGCATTTGAAGCAAAAGAAGAATCTTAATTGGCGTTATACTTTCTAATGCAGATTCAAAGTTAAAGCAGTAAGGAGATGTTTTAAATAATTCAACAGAAACTACACCAAATGAACAGTTAGTTAAAGCTCTTGAAGTTCTCAAATACAGTAAATCATTAATGGGAAATATGTTGCTTAATCTACAGAAAGTGTTTTCCATTCACCATATGTTACCAGGACTATCATTAAAATAGTAATTTATTATGAGGATGAGTCTTTAATACACAGTGCTGAGGCCCCAGGTTCTGGAACCACTCACTAGGTCAGCATTTTGTGGTTTTAAGCAGTGGTGTGCCTTGGGTAAGAAAAAGAGGAGGTTTATTAATTCTTGATGCATTTTAAACACAGAAATATTGTACTTTATTTTTTCCTGGAACAGGGAAAACTACCATTACACGAATAGGTTAAACGCTCTGATTGGTTAGTTCTCCTCAAGATTGATAATGCCTCCTTTTCAATGTGAATGGATGTTCCCAACAAGCTGTCATTGAGACAGGGAGGATGTTTTTATGTGGTCCCTGCTGTGGTCACTGTTCCGACCAACAGAAGCAGTCTGCAGGAGGACCAGGTAAGTTTAAGAGTGCAGTCTGTTGGGAAAGTAGAGGAAAGGTAGCTGTCGTGTGGGGGGTCATGACCCAAGCCTTGTGAGCCCACTGCTCTCCAACTCAGCCAGTCAGCCTCAGTCCATTTGAGTTTCTTGGTTATGCCACTCTTGAACTGCAGGTTTGCTAGTTTTGATATTTGGAGAGAGTCCTTAGGCCATATTTCCTGAATGAGAAGATGCATGTCCTGTGAGGTAAGTCTGTGTGACTGGAAGGAGGGGTGGAGTTGCCTTAAGTGGGGTGAGTGGTACAAGGTTAACCAAGGGCGGCATTGTGGAGGGCCCTGAGCACCCAGGACTTGGGTCTTTTAGAAACAAGTCTGGGATTGAGGCTCCACACACTATTCCTCTTAATTTAAAAAAGTATTTATTATTGTATTATTTAATTATTTTATTTTGGCCGGGGGGAGGTAATTAGGTTTATTTATCTTTAGAGGAGGTACTAGGGATATGAACCCAGGACCTCATGCACGCTAAGCATGTGCTCTACCACTTGAGCTATACCCTCCCCCCATACACACACTCTTACATTTAGCCCCAGTCGTTTCTGACACTTGCCAGGCAATTGCAACTTAAGTTTTTTATTTCCAATCATAACCCATGAAAAGAATCTTATAGGCCCCTAAAATATTCATGTTATTGCTGCTGCATGTTCATGCTAGAATTTGAGGGCTTGCCTTCAGCTATACCTTAGCATAAAAGAAATTGTAGTAAAAATAATTGGCATAAAGCCATCAACTTGTTCATTTGCTCTCTTTCACTGTAAGGCAATAAAGGAATTAAATGATGTCTCATTCGGCTTTATACATTTGCATACTTAAATGTTTGGATACTTCCTTGCTAAGTAAATTGGGCCTGATCAGACAAGCCAGGAGTGGGTGAATACCTCAAATTTTCAAATGTATTCATTCTTTCCAACTGTGGATTGCAAGTAATATTTTTATTGACTATTATACTGCATCAATGACATGTTGAATGAATGACACAGGTTAACAAAGCTGTATGCTGCTTGTGAAAAATAAGTTATATACATGCTAGCGATATATACTATATTTTTGCAAATACACATATTCCAGTAATACACACACATACAAAAATTAGTGTATCACCATCTGTGAGTACAAATTAAGTCATTTTAACATTTAATGGACAAAATCCAATGGCCCTGAGCTCTTCTCCTGATTGATTATCCAGGCTTTTACAAAGTCCACTTCCCAAAATACTTCTGAGAAGCCCAGGGGAACTGATATGCATAAAAAAAATTAGTCTCATGCCCAATGACCTCATTAATGTATAACTCCTGTTTACATATCTGTTAATTTTGAGATTTGTTCACACAAAGCAAGAACTATGAAAAAAAAGTGGTTCCAATGTAATTACCTATTCCTGTCAACCACAGCATAGAGCTTCCTTGTTTTGTTCAGGAAGCAGCAGTTTGGAGGTGATAGCAAAGTATTCTCTCTTCTCTGTATTCCCCCTCTCCCCACCCATCCAAGATGTCCCAAAGCTAAGCAGTTTGATGTCCAAGTGATCCAATTCATGACAGGTACACACGCACACACACATACACACACACACTCACACATACATACAAACATTACCTTTCTCCAGGTTATAAGCCATCCATCCACAGGGCCTAAATTGGAGCAACTTTCTTTAATTCTACATCCACTATGAGGAGGCATTCAGCCAAACCTTATCCATTTCCTTCCTTTCTTCTCCATTCTTCTTACAACTATAAATAAAATACATGTCTCCATTAGAATAAATTATCAGCATATTACATTCAAATTAGATACAGAGGGTGAAAAAAAATTCTCTGCCCCATCACCCAATGCATGTCCAATCTTGTTTCACTGACACTCACTCAATTCTGGATTAGGAAATTTGAAGTCCCAATGGTGAACTTTTCTTCAGATTTTTATAAAAATCAAATATAAAGAAGATTTGAACAAAATTAAGAAATTTAGTCTATTGTCTTTAAGAGAGAACATACTTCTTTTCAAGTACATATGAAACATTAGTACAAATCAACTGTGTAATCACACACAGAGGAAACCACAATAAATTCCAAAGAATCAAATGATACGTATATAATAAAATAAGAAATCAGTAACAAGGAAAGAAAATTTTAAATGTACATGACTGGAAAGTAAAAAATATGTACCAAAACCCTTTGGTTAAAGAGGAAACTTAGAGTATTAAAAATAAGCCAGTCAAGGACAAAA